CAACGAATAATCGTTTCATTTAAATTTCTTATTTGATAAATTACAAGTAAACAAAAAAACAGCAAAAAGGGAAAAAAAGGAACGAACTAAATTGAAATTTTTTGTGCTAAAAACAGAACTCAAGTAAATAATAAAAAAAACTACAAATATTTGAATGGTTGAAATTTGTAAATCTTTCTTTTTTTAAAAAAAAAAAAAGAATAAACATAACAAAAAAAAAGAAGAGAAAAAGAGAAAGATTCATTTGGATAGATTTTGAAGGAAGTATTCAAATGGAAAAGATAAATGAATGAATGAATGATAATAGAATAAATAGAACAAAATGAAAAGGACAAAAAAAAAGAGAAAAAAAGAAGCAAAAAAGTTTGAACCAAATAAGAAATATATAAATTTTGAATCATTGAGTTTACACGATTCAAATTTACAATTTAAATATTCAAATTTAAAATAGTTTATTTAAAAATTAAAACAATTCATTTAGCTGCTTTATTTTTGCTGTTGAATAATAAATGAAATCATAGCAATTTCATGGAAAATTGACTAATTCACAAATTTCATTGAATGCAATTCCAAAATTGCTAGAATTGGTTAAAAAAAAAAAAAAAAAAAAAAAAAAAAAACAAAGAGTACCTTCATTATATAATTGATATAATAAACTTTTAACTGATTACTAATCATTTATTTGATTGATTCATTTTCATTCAGTTATTTAATACCATTTTCATTGTTTTTGATTAAATTCCTATTAGTTAAATTTATGCTAAGTTTAAATATATCCTGCCGACATCTATATTATGCATCGAGCATTATATTCCTCTCATGAAGCATAGATATTTTTAATTAAACGTTAAAATAACATAGCATTAAACGGATCAATGGTCAGCTGTTTATTCAAACGATACTGACTAATTATAGCTGACAGTTAAATTATTCTCGAAATAACACATATAAATTGTATTTACTAAGAAAAATGTTGCAAATGTATGAGGCTGATCTGAATTAAGCTCGAAACGATGAAACAGTAAAATAAATTTAATTAAAATTAAATTAATGACAAACAAATGAAAAGAAAAATGCACTTATTTTGCTTCGCTTTTTCCTATTTTTTTTTTTTATCTTTAAATATTGCACAATTATAATTTCAATTGTTTACGCATGAAATATTTCGCCATTTTTTGCATCTCTTAAAAATTGTTTCATAAAATAATTGCTAATTTGAAATTAAAAAAAAAAAAAAAAAAAAAAAAACACAAAAACACAAAATTATGTCTATCAAATAATTTTACCAATAAGATTACAGGCTTATATGTCTATCAAATAATTTTACCAGCAAGATAAAAGCATATTGCATCTTGACGTCATAACATAAGCATTTATCAGTAAACAGAATTGCTTTATGTTAAGCATAATTCAATTACAAGTAAGTGAATCAATAACTACTATTTGATGTAAAAACTTAATCAAAATGATATGTCGGAAACAATTTGCAAGCAGAAGCAAATAATTATGTAGAAAGCAAAATATTTTGCAATATTAAAATAGTGCCTAAAATTTTCTGTCTATTTCATCTATTGTTTAAAATTCCTTTGCATATGTTTACACGCAGATATGCGTACGTCTTTACACGCTTGCATATATATGTATATGTATGCATCAACACATATTTAGATTTAAATCAGTGCGAAATTATTTATATCTTATAATTTTATATATTACAAAAAATTTTAGTTAAATTCACAAAACGAATTGATAGAATTCAAAATGGTTTCTTTTATATAGTTGATAATCTTGAAAAAATTTTTTGAAATCGTGCAGGTGGTTTTTGAATTTATTAACATCTGCCAAATGATCGCCATATATTAAAGATTAATTTAATGTAAAATAATTTTTGCCGAATTGATACGGTATACCTATCAATTGATTTTTTTGATTAACATTTTAGTATTTTTTTTTAAAGCTGGTGGATAATAAGACAACTAGTTTATAAAAATAGTTATAAATAACGAATGAAATATGAATAGTTTATTCTCTTAATGAATATCTGAAATAACAATTGTTAATTGATAATAGTAATAAATGATAATAGCTAATGGTTGAGCTTACATTTGTAACTTTTACTTCTTGTCGTACGACGATCAGTTGTCATCTAAAGCTATGATAATAAGTTCATGGTAAGCCATACTTTTTCATCCATAGCAACCGATGAAGCACTTAGCAAAGTAATTATTAAAAGAGAAAAAAAGGGAAGAAAAAAGAAAATTGAAATCTGTAAAAGTAAAATCAACAATTGTCTAAACTGAAAAAATATTCCTCATTAATTATAAAAATAAATAAAAGCATTATGTACTTTGGGAAAAAAAAGAAATTGTTAAATAATATATTGAATAAATAATAATAAAATGTTTTTTATTACTTTTTTCCATCTTTTTCAAGTATAGCTAACGATCTTTGCTATCATTTACAAATTGAATTGAATCGAAATTGTATTTAAATTGAAATTAGTTACAATTTCAGTTATTCCAAAATAATAAGTTAAAATATCATTGAAATGATAAAATGAAGCAAAATAATTGTATTCTAATGAAGTAATATTTAATAAAAAATTAACAAAAAATGATGACAAAAAAATAAATTGATATTTCAAATTGATGGAATCAATTAAAAATGATATAAATAAATAAATATAAAATTTGAATGAATAATTTTAGAAAAAAAATTTATTGTCTTCAATTAAAAGAAAAAATTTCTTTTTCGCTGTTAAAAATAATTTACAAAATTGAGTAATATGCAAAAAATAAGTTGTTTAAATAAATAACTGATATTACCTTAGTTTCTTACTTTAATTTTTACTCAAATAAAGTAATGGGAAAAAAGAACAAAAATTTAATTAATTTTTATATTTTTCGTTTTATTCAAAAATCGTTAAAATTTTTTGAAAAATTTGTTTATTAATAAATACTGATCCAAAAGTAAGAAATATACTTGAAGTTTTTTTTTTTTTCTTTTTGAGAAAAAAAGCAAGAATAAGAGTGAAAATTTAGAAATTTAATTTATAAATTAAAATTTTTTCTCTTTAAATAGAGGATTAAATCTGTAAAGATAAATTTAACGAATCTGTAAGAATCAATTCAATCTTGTGGACAAATATAAAATGTGTTACTAGTTGCTTTGATAATTGAAAAATTGTAGATGGATTGAGATGATTGATGAAAATTAAAGAAAGAGAAAGGAAGAGGGAGAGAGAGAGAGAGAGGAGGGAAAAGGTTCTAATTAATTAGAAATAATATAATATAGATGTAAAAAAACTGAACTAATGAAGCGTAATAAAATCATTCATGCATGATGCGTCATTTATCTAAATTTTGCTGTATTATTGCAGCTAATTCATTTAATGCAACAGATAACAATGCTAAACATAAGCTAATTAGTAAATAACCGGATTGGAACCGGAATGTTAGCTTATTGCAATGCTAATCACTTTTATCCAGAACTTGTTTCATTTGATTCATCTCATCACGATGGATGGATGGCAGATTACACTATCCAGAAATGTTTTCATGCTATCGTAACAAAATACATACTATCCCTTAATGACTTACCCCTACATTCTTTAACTTTTTATACTTATGCCTTTCAAAATAAAGCATCGTATTACACGATAGTTTCTATTTTCACATATGTATTCAGCATCATTTATGCAAGTTTGATATCACCTTCAAAGATTGGCTTTAAAATCTGAAATTGTTTCAGCACCTTTCTAAAAGCAAAGGTTCGCTTTTTCACTTTTTTATCAACAATTACGAACAAAAATTAGAAATATTAGCGAAAAAAAAAAAAAAAAAAAAAAGATTGAAATATAAAAAATAAAAGCAGAAACGAAATGAAAGGATTAAAAAGGATTAACAAATGTTTAAAACAATTCCAAGTCGAGAAAGTTACCAGCAAAATGAAAACATGAACCAAAAGAAAAAAATTAAGTGCTATCTTCTTATGCGATGTATAATTCAATAGTTTGAAAAATTATTATTAACAAAACATAAAGTCAATAAGGAAAATACAGGAAAAATTAAGTAAGGCAACCACCAGGCTTTTTAATCGTCCACCCTAATTCTACGCTGAACCCCAAGTTATAGAATATGGCTATAAGAAATACTGAACTAAACTATGAGCTCTTGCTTTACACGGATATGCTATTCAATTGTTAGCATCCAGTTGTGATGAGTAACTAACTAGCTTCAAGTTTGAGAAATGAATTGTTTCGGAAAAATATTAAATCTTTCAAACCGAATTCCAAATTCTTACGTATTAAGAAGTTACAGTCGCAGGCAGAAATACTTCTGAAGAAAAATCGATTCAGACTATTAGGTGGAGATTTAATTAAGTGTTTAAACTACTAAAAAATATAATTTAATTAGAAAAAAGACATAATTTGAACTTAATTGATTATTTTCTATGCTCTGTATGGGTACTGGTCACATTCGGTGTGGTCATTTTTCAACTTAAATAATAAATTAAACTTTAATAATTAAATCTATTTGTGTCACGAAATTAATAGTCACAGTTTTAAATCATTTTTGCAATTAAAATTAAATTTTATATCAAGTTTAAATATTGATATTAAGAAAATGCTGCAATTTGTACTAGTTTTTATATATAGAACTCAAAAATAAGTTCTGGTTTAATCAGATTTTATCAAAAATCAATTATTACAAATAATACTTATTCTGGTATCTCAAATAGCTTTGATTACAACAACTTTGAACCATTATTTAGCTCAGAATTTCTGTCCGATCCTTCGCAGTTCATTGATTTCGATCAGTTGAGTGAAATTGAGGATATAAGCAGTAAAGCATCGAAACCGGAGATCACAAATGCTCCTCATCCTGGCTTTTCAGATAGCTATGATTTGTTGGGCCACATTAATTTGGACTCATCACTTGGTTCATATACAGATTCAAATAGGAATGTGTAGAGAGATGCTAATGGAGAATTAGAAACGAATGATGATATACTGCGATATAGAGGTGAGACTTTTGCTTCAAATATGTGAAAAGAAAAGTAAACAGCTTTTGTGATCTAAGTTATTTAGATGCTCAAAGTGAAACTTCTTCGGCACTTAATGTCAACACCGATGACATTATTACAAGTATGTATTTACCTGGTTCACAACAAAATGCGGTTCCGATCTATTTTCACCAACTTACTCTTTCCTCAGACGACACATCCGGTCAACATGGAAATGCTGAACAGAACAACATGGACAATAAGCACTTCTCGGATAACTTGAATGTCTACGACTACAAGGGAAATACCAGTGAAGGATCAGTGAAGATGCATAACGATTTTTCGTTCTATCTTTTATAGTTCTTTATTTTCATCAGCAACATGAAATTGATGAAGCGATACTAAAAGTATGGTTTTTGCTTTATTTATGTGAGAAGATAAATATTCTACCTAAATTATTCAAAATGGAATGTGATATTTCTTTTGTAATGACATTTTTGTGATTTATCACATTACTTAACTACAAAACGGTCTAATAAATTTACTAATTGCAAAAATACATGTTTTGACATGAATTTTTCAGATAACAGAAAGTATATTTGTTATTATCCCGGGTGTATTGTGATCACGGAAAATTACAAAGAATACGTAACACACAAGGGAACGCACAATCAAATTTTTATTTATGAATGCAGTATGCCTGGTTGTGGGAGGAGATGCTGCCATATATCATCATTTTGTTGTCACATGCAAACTCACCAACCTAAGCATCAATGCAGAGATTGCGGCAAACTCTTCAGTAGGAAGAATATATTTTTTAAATTCGAAAAAAAAAAAAAAAAACTTTTTTTTTTGAAAAAACAATATTTAAAAACGTTCAATTTAAAATATAATGTATGCGGAAATATGTTTTAAAACATCGCTGACCATGGTACAGCAATATACAATTCAGAAAATGCTGCGACATTTTTCTAACCTCAGTTTCTTTTGTATATGACAAAAATCCTCTGGCAAGCAGTCAGCATACATTGACAACTGATGTTTTAATATCGCGACAGATTCTTTTTTTTTTTTTTTTTTAAATAAATTACTTGTCCATTACTCGATTACTTGAAGTTGGGAGTACAAACAATGACGAAAACTAAACCTCATTCCGCCACAACAGAAAATTCACAATCATTTGTTGTGCAAGGTCTTTCCATTAGAAATATAGCATCAAAAGTAAAAAGTAATACCAAAAGTTTTGTTTCAAACATATGAGAAGATAAGTAAACAGATTGTTATGATTTAAGTAATTTGAAATGAAATGTGGTAAGATTATTTTATGCACTGATATTTTTATGACTATTTCTCACATGGATTAATAATTGAAAAGACCAATATCATAAGAGTTTTTTAGACGAACGAAGCTACGAATGTGTCTATTGCGGATGTACTATGGTTACAAAAGATTACGATGAATATATAGCACATAGAAAAGCACATGGTCAGCCCTTCATCTGTGAATGTAGAGTGCCCGGTTGTGAGCGATCATTCCATGAACCATCACTTTACAATCACAAGCAAACGCATGAATCTCATCGTCAGTGCGAGCGCTGTGGCAAATTCTTCAGCACCAGGAATGGGCTACAAGAACACAAGGAGCACTGCCCAACAAAATTTCGTTAGTTTGCAAATTTAGCAAATTTTTGAGCGCACATATTAGCCTGAAATAAAATTGAAATGTGTTATGAAACACCTGTGACCGTTGAGTGACAATACAAAATTCATTAGACACATTCATTAAGATGCTATATATATATTTTTTGCACTCAGTAATACCGCCCACGTGACCTAAGAACCAATTGCTTAAAGACAGTGGTGACAATAGCGCTTCAATATACATCAACAAACATTGAAAATATCAACAGAGGAAAAAATATCCTTTCACTCTTAATCAAATTGCTTTATTTTTCTAATTCGTGGAATGTATGCAGAAAAGCATACATTCCACGAATATTATTCTATCTGCGACAAACTGCAATTATTATTATTTTTTTTTTTGGCGTTATAAAACTAAAAATTTTCATTCTAGAAAACGGGACACAATTTGGGCATTCTTCCCAAGCATGAGAAAAGGACGTAACAATCGGACGTTTTCGAAGCATCAGACTGCAGCGACAGATTAATAATTTTGTTTTACCATTGGATTTTTTAAATATTTCTTCCCTATTTATTATTCCATGAATATCACAGAAATGCATAAATGTACTAATTGGCAGTAATATTCGGAGGCAAGCATTTATTTTTTAGTCAACAACTGAATAAGTTTCTGGCTTACCTTTAATTACTCTTATGATCTAAAAAATGGTGCCAATCGTAATTACGAAGTATTAAACAATGCTGAAGTAAGTAATCTTCCGATATCTTTAAGCCATATCTCTCGCGAAAAATTACAATTCTATACATATTGGTGATTAAAGTAAGTAGGTAAAATTCATTTGCAATTAAAAATTAAAAGAAAAACTGAAGTGCATCAAAACTAATTGCGACCCAATTCATTTTTTTTATTATTATTTACAAAGTACTCAAATCACCAGAAGAGAAAAGAAGTGAATAATACAAAATATTAATTAGGTCATTTAAACAAATGCTGAAGTACTGATTGTTATACCCTATTTTAACTTACCTGGTATAATGAACAAATTAACCATTGTCACAACTCATACCCTTATATTTTTAACTGTTTGGTGACATAGTCTGGTGGCAAAAACAGAAAAAATTAGCATTTAATCATCACAATTAAATTGGGCGGTAGATTTGAAAATTCCTTTCGTAACAAATTTATTCGTAATTTTTTAACAAAAAAACAAATGTCACAATAAATAGGAGTTAACTTCATCACTTCAATCAGTAATGTATTATCAGTTAATTTTTTATTAAACAAACAAATATATTTTCAAATATTAATGGAATTACTGTTGCAAAAAAAAAAAAAACCATATGTATGGAATATTATTAACTTAATTATTAGGTAAAGAAATTAATTTAGAAGAACAGATGAGAAGAAAGATCATGGAATTAGATATGATCAATTGAAATGCCATTAAGCTACCAGGCAGTACCTAAGAATAAATACTGGAAATAAGCCAACATATTTCCAATTGTCATTTAATTTACGTCACCAAAATTTAAAACTGAAACTTTTTTCAAAATGCAAATAATTCATTCAATATTTTACTTACCTTCAATATACTATATTTTATTAAACAAAGCAGACAGGATTATTACTGCACAACTGATTAAATATTTCACCATACGATGACATTTAATCCCAGCTATTCATCAGTTTCCTTTATGCAAATGTTACTCCATTTTGTCAACCAAACTTCTAGAATTTGTTTCAAACATCAAACATTGCTTATGTTGAAATTCTTTCTGATAATAGCAGTGGATGTATGTCAAAAAGCAATAATTAGCAAATTTCAGGTGATGCTTCCATCCGATGAAGTTCCCATCGGTGATACTATCAATAGATGTGAAGATGACAACTTTATTAAATGAACCCAATTAAATGCATCGAAAATGATTAGAATCTTATTCCTCACGTCGTATTATTGAAATGATGGAACAATATCCTTCCTAAGTATCAGATTTACGTACGCGCTATTGTAACACTTCCTTCTGGATACAAAAGAGCATTCATAAACTATCAAGCGAGGAGGTTAAAGAAAAAATATGACAAACAGCGGACAGAGCTCAGGTAAATAGCAGAAAACCTAGGACTTCCGAGGAAAATAAAAGAATTAGATTTGTCGCTAATCAATTAACCGTGGTATTCTTGAATCAATTATGAACATTCTCGATTCTATTCAAAAGGAAAGAAGAAATTTATATAGAAATGGTTCACTAAGAACAAGGTATAAAATAAGTCAATGAAGAGAAGTTAAAAAAAAAATTTGGAATTATACAGAAGTTACTATTAGCTTCGTCTATTAATTTGGAATTATACAAAAAATTAGCATTCGTCGCTAAATCCAGACTACAAAACTCGAGATATAATCCATTCACAATGAAGGACTTTTAATTAAGCTGTTGACTTCCCGATTCGTAGCATCAAATTTGTCATGGAAGTTTCTTGATTTGAGTAATTTGGTGTCTCACAAAGAATTATTGTAAAGGTTCGTTCTTTATGGAAGATGGATGGTAATATTATATGATAATTATTAGTCAATAGACGATCATTGATCGTTTGAAGAAACCGTTTCAAGGTTTGAATGGGATTTGCTAAGGAGTTGCTTGAGTTGTAGTTTAGGAGAGTTCTTAAGATGCCAAGGCAAAAGCTCTTCGAGAGTATGAAAAAAGTTATTGTGTAGAACTATAAATGAAGAAAGAACTGGATAACGAACTCTTCCTAATGGGTGATTTACAAAGATGTGCTGTAATACTTTGATTGTGAAGAGAGTTACCTGAACAAAAAAGGAAAACCTTAAATATTAGTTATTAGAGTGAAAATGTGTGAATTGGTTTTTGGTATTTAACCATTGATGATAAGCTGATAGTTAAAAACAAAGATGAAAATTAGATAAGTAGTTCATTACATCATAACACTCATTTGCATTCATTTTGAATCATTTGATGAAAAATATTTCTAGCACACAATTACAAATTATTTCGGTTTTTGTGGCACAATTGAAGTTATGAAATGAGCTGCTCTTAGACTGGATTACAACAGCTCTTTCTGGAGCCCGAAAATCAGGAAAAAAAAAAAAACATGGAATTCCTGTTTTCTAAAAAATAGTTAAGATCCTAACTGACATTCGCTTCCATCTCCATTTGGCTTTACAATAAGTGATTTAGTCAGATGTTAGAATGCTGTTTCAGCACTTCTATTGTACACAATTTCGTTCTTTTCAACATAACTTTGTCACTTTGATTTTGCTAATATTATGATTCGGTCGCTCAACTTAAATTTCTAATTGAACCCATTTCGACTGTTGCAATACGAATGTCCCAAGCACTACGGTTCACAGTAACCACCAATCCTATCAATTGTCACAAGCTGTTGCTCCCATAAGTGCTTTAGTCATCGATTGAGTGAGAGGATGGCAAGTCAGCTGCTTTCTGCGCCCATTATTATGCGTGGTATTACGATGTGATAACTATGGTCATATCTCTTTGAAATATAAGAGAAATTTAGAGAGTTCAGACGGTGAGGAAATCATACCCGTACATATTTTTTATGCAAATTATTTAAAATTAAAGTTTACAAAATATTTAGCTAGATGAAAGACAGGTTTAATAGAGTGAGAAGGAAAAATAACTCCATCTTTATTCTCTGCAGGGGCGCTTTGCGGTCGCTGAACTTTTTATTGTCGTGCGCTGAGGTGAGACTGCGCTTGATTTTCAAGTTTTTGCTTAAATCTGAAAATGTCAAAAAGAAGATATAGGTGGAAGGAGAACATGAGGAGGAGAAATGAGAGGGATCTAAAATGGTGTTACAGCATATGAAATGAAGTGATAGTTGTCACTGTCGAGTATCATTAGCAAATACATCATGGAGCGACTGGCTACACTTGAACTGAAATTACAGCCAAATATTGTTTAGGGAGATAGTGAGATGTATTTTCAGGTTGAGAAATTGCTGACTGCCACTTTTAATATAATGTTGACGCTAATTGTTTGGATTGGTATATATCATACCAAAAAGGATTCGAATTCTGTCTTCTATTATAAGTTCGATCCGGTCCATAATCATACAACCGAAAATGAAATCGTCGACGGGATGGCTAGAGCTCTCGAAGCTTGCAAGTAGTCAGAAAATTGGATTGCACAGCAATGGAACTTTATTGACTTCATTTGACCTTTACTTTCTTCTATTTGATAATTCGAACGAAACATCACAGCGAATGTTCTTCACTGTCATTACATTAAGTGATAAGTTGGTTATCTTACATTTATGGGTAATGATTTAAAACAGAGAAAAATCTATTTAATAGTGAAGGCTTGTCGAATGCTGCGGAATAATTGCAATTGTAATTGAGATCACTGAGATTCGCCGGTCGAATTCTCTAGGGGGATTGATCTTGGTGAATGTCAAGCAAAAATGGAACTTGAGACTGCTTCTGGAACAATTTCCAATCAATATGCTTCTAGCTCACAGTAGCTCGAATCGCTTTACGTAGTATGTTTAAATTCACAGATAAATGGAATCGGATGCGTGTTGATGCTAGCTATAATAAATTTTGCACTAAAAGCCGAATTACAAACATAAATCAGAATAACAACCTGTAAAGATTATCCAACCAAGAGTGACTGCAACTTGTATCTGAATCTGAAATCCGGAAGAGGCAAGCTGAATCAAATAGCATCAATTATTAATTAATTGCATCAGAACGATGTACAAAGTGGTGTCACTTTATAAAAAATACATTCGTGCAACAAACTGCGTTATTACCACAAGTGCTCATTGTCACTGCCTTCAGAGAACGCTTTATAAAATATTTCTTGTCAGTGAACTTAACTCTTCAATTTACTGAAAAGCAAGAGATGTCGAAGTTTAGAAGCTAATGAGTTAAAAAGTTAAGGAATTCTCTTCAGTGAATTTCAGATGACATTAGCCCAATTATGTTATTAACTATCATTTATCATATTATCCTTTATCATATTGATCATAAGAATCTTTTATCATATTGATCTATCCTTTATCATATTGATCCTAAGAATCCAGACCGCTCCTCCTATACTCACAACACTTACTGTTATTACATATGGTACCATCGGTATCCTCGTATTCTTCACCAAAAAAACTCCTCTTACATGCATCAATTCTACGTCATTTGCAACTGTTCATTGGTTTCTGTATTTTACCTTCGAATATTCCCTACACATACTGCGTGGTTTGTATTGGTATGCTTTGGGGTAAGTTGATGAGTTCATTATTATTTGGGGTAAGTTGATGAGTTCGCTGTACCATCTAAGTAATATTTCTGTGAAACCCTCTCTGACTGTAAGCAGTGCATATGAGATTGTGGACAGTTGCAGAATCGTATGAATGCGATCATTGCAACAAATTAGATCGCCGATCAAAATGACCAGAAAAGGGGAAAGACTTGAGAAAAGAGATAAATTTTATCTTTTAGAGAAGATAAAACATTCTAATCTTAATTATTCCATAAAGAGATTGAACTGATTCCTAATCGAATACAAGAAAGCATTCAGATGCATTCGCAGTGCCTGCATCCATCGGTCCATTGCGACGTATCAGTGGAAAAGCTCACGAATACAGCGACCAAGTAAGTAAGGCAATTACTTCTCAATTGCTTGATATAATAAGCATTAAGAATTGCGACAACTGCTTGCTCCTTACAGTATTGCGATTCTTAATGTTCACAGCTGAGGATAGAAATGATGAGCGGAGGGAAGAAATCGTAAATTCTCTTAGGCAGTGAGCTTTCTGCTGTGGTAGTAAGTTCTATTTCTCTTGTTGGTTGACTACCATCCGCTTCCCGAAAGAAACAAAGAAAAAGAAAAATTTTTTAAAAGAAAAAAGGTCTTTGTAGATCAATTTTGATAAAATTCTTTATTTTCAAAGCAAATTTTAGCAATTCTGTCTTTGACTCCTACAAATCGTTCACATGAGATTTACAACATAGCTGAAAACATCAGAATGGAAAAAGAAACAAAAGCAGCTTTTTCAAAGTTAATCATTCAGACAAGCAAGAGATGTCTTGTCGAGCCAAAACAACAAAAAGTGAGGAGAAGCCTAAAATAAGCTCCAACAAGGCTGGATTCAGTATTTTTCATCGATTTAGCAATCATATCCTATCTTTCGATAGATCCATGTCTTGAGTCCTAAAAATTTTGAAGTGAACTTTGTCTAAATTACAGGAAGCAAAGAGCAAACATATCCAACAGCGTAAAGCGTTAGGTCGCAAAAGTAATATATGTGATATAACGATTCGGAAAATTTGTACAAAGCTTGGAACATCTGACGAATAAAAGAAAGAAACGAAATTTAAAATCTACGATCTGAATGATGGATGCATTTGTGGAAAATTTTTTTTTGTTGAACAGGTATCGGGAGATTGGCACTTACGAGATTAATTTTTGAATAGAAATAAAAAAATAAATTGAAAATCTCATTCTGATTACAAATCCTTCAGAACGCTTCATTCTTTTCACCGCTATCAATGTGATTAACATGTTTTTTCTTTCAAATAAGAGCAATCAAATAAGTATTATCTGCCCAAAACTTTATCTAATTAATTCCTTCAATTAATTTTCATAACGCGACAGAAAGATATGGGAAATCCAAGCTGTGAAATATTTATTTCTTTGGGAATTATTTTCTTGCCAAATCATCTTCTTGACCTGCCAACTCGGTAACTGACCAGTCATCCCACAATTCATAATGCCTAATAATGCGTACTATATGATGTTAGATTTAAGCTAAAATTAGTAAATATGCAAATTTCAGCATCAGTTCGTCTTGGCATGGGCGACTTCATTTTCTATAGTTTGCTGGTAGATAAAGCCTCCGCGACACGTAGTACAATGTGCGTTGCTGACTCAATGGCTGGCTATGGCTGGCATACTCACCCTGGCAGTACTGTCTAGCTACGATGAACCCACTAAAGCACTGTCTGTTCCGATCGATTACCATCGCTGTACTGCTACATTCCGGCATTTATCTGTTCGTCGAACCATTCCATAATCGCATAGTGATGAGCACAAAATTATTTACCTCTAGACAAAACAGAACTATCTCCACCATATGACTTCTCCAGCTGCAGGCAAGTTCATCAGTTATTAAATTTGATACATGCCAAAAATCATAAGGGATCATCTTAGTGACAGCATATTTTGCATTAAAAAACAATACAATGGAAGCAACGTACATTATGAAAGAAATAACGAATAAATAAAAGAAAGTGAGAGTGCAATCAACAATGCCAAATTTAAGAATAAACTTTAAAATACGAAGATGAAACGAAGGAGTCAAAAAGTAAGCAATATAAACTAATTAAAAATGCAATAAATTCTAGGTATAAATAAATGAAGCGACGAATACTATTATTATTATTAAAAATCTAACACTTTAAAAGTCAAAGAGTAAAACAATTGAATTAAATCCTTGCTGAACACCCCGATGCTGAATTCATCAAAGTTGAAGTGATACAGCCAAACATTACGCCTAAATAATTAAGTTGCAATTCAAAGCAGCATAACAGCCAAAAAAATCCACTATTCCTAGAAAGTTCAATCTATATTAATATTAGATTTAAGACTGAATGTTTCGTAAAATGTGAACCGAGGAAAGTTAGGCAATGAATCATTAAATTTCATCTTATAAATGTTTCGTATAATATCAATTGATTCAGATAATGTAACTTAACTATTACATACTTCTCTCAAAACTTTACTTTGCCGAAATAACTATTTATTACAAGTACCGATTATCCACCAACTTGAAATTACTATTTTACATGTTTTTTGAAAAAAGCTTTCAGAAAAAAAATCCGAAAAGATTATGCTTCAAAGTGCTAAAGAAAACGAAGAACAAATAATTTAACCTATTGTGAAAAGTTTCCTAGAAAATTCCAAGAGAAGGAATATCGATTGCCAAAAACCAATCGATTGGTAACCAAAACTGCATGAGATCCAAGCAAAAAAAAAAAAAAAAAAAAAAATAAATAAATAAATAAATAAAAACAAAAAGACACAAAAAAGAAACAAAAGAATGATTGATGATGATTTCGATAAGGACGTTGGTTATGGTCGTTTAATAGAAATACATGTAGAAATAACATTAACATAGTTCACAGTAATATTTTTGTTTCCGAAACTGTACTGTCCTTTGTGTTATTCAAGTAAATGAGATTAAAGATTGTCTTTATTTTAGTTCGAAGAAGTTTCGGTAGAATTCATACTTTCTAACTTAACTGCTCACGTCCGCTTACGCCGTCAACTCTGCTTTCCGATCAGTCTAATCATAGACAGGATAGCAGTTTTCATAAAATTTAAAAGAAGGAAATTCGCAAATAGTACATGAACCGTGAAACGTTATGGACGTAGCTAACAAATCATATTTGAAATTTTGAACTAGATATGAAGGGATTTTAACCACGGTAATTGCTATTCCTGCAATAGCTGCAACTGTTTTCAAAGTCCGACAGTCAGGGTTAGAGGCATGATAATGCTAGCAACAGAACTAAATCTGCTAACAATTTCATCTTATCAGTCTCACTTACTCTGTCTGCAAGTACTGCACATGAGAGTGAAAAATCTATATCTAGTAAAAAATACCGTAATGACAGCTTAGTCTTAAACATTTTTTACTTCTGATAAAATATAGACAAGCAACCATACTTTTGGAACCTCCCCGACTTCTTTTAATATAACAGTATGACACTCTCTGCACGTCCATAATGCGTTGACTATATCATCTAAACCTTTTAAGTCTATTCTCGCTACCACAGCATTAATCCCTTGTTTGACCAAAAAAAAAAATCTAGTACTTGGATCTGTGTGCTTGATTAGTATGTACTCGCGTCCAGTCAACATGAAAACATTCCGGTAGACACTAGTAGCTTTTAGATTTGACAAAAAAATCTGTGTTGATGTTTGCTGTACATTTATATTACTAATAGTACTTTTGCTTGCATCTTCAACGCTCTGAATAGCAAAAACCACAAAGGCATTTAATTTTCTCAGCACTTTCAACCAGTCCTTTATCTTAGGTACAAAAAGAGGATTATATATTAATGTCCATACCTCATCAAGGACGATAATAGATGGAGTGCCATCAAGAGATATACTAATCCTGTGAAATAATAAGTCAAGACTAGCCCAAGAGCAACGGGATCTTTGAGTAAGTTAGCCATTTCAAAGCCAAATACTCTTGCTTTTGAAAAATCTATCAAATCTTTATTGTTATCAAATACTGCAGCATGAGAGCTATTACCATGCCACATAGATATCACTCCAGCTAGAGTATCAGAACCTGCAAGTCCTAAAAAGGGTACTAGGTTTCTGAAGGATCTATCTTCTTTTCATAATTTAAAATTTCCTTCAATTACTTATCATTATTTAACTATTATATGGTTAAATTTTTATTTTGTGTACTGTTATTGCTGCTAATAATAAATACTAATAATAAATATATTAAAGCATAATGAAAATTTATCTAAAAATCCTTGAGTATTTTCAGGACTTAGCTAAAATTTTTTTGACACCACAATTTTGACACCTCCTGATTATTTCTGTTGTCAGGAGGTGTCAAAATTGCGCCTCGAAAAGTTGTAGTCTCAAACTGCGGATGGTAATCTATGGCAAAACAGCCAAGAGGGACAAGAATTTTAAAAGAATATTCTAAAATTAAGAATGATATAGAGTCGTTTTCAAAGCTAGAAAGTGATTATAACGATGCTATCTTTTTAATGAAATCCACTATTGATGAAAACGATGAAGAGTTTTTCTCTGAAATTGAAACTAAAATCAGAGAAATTAGTCAAGCTTAAAGAAACAAATTTCTTATTTACTTATGGAGCAGATAATACTGAAATCCACTCAGGAGTTGGTGGAACAGAGAGCGATGATTAGACTGAAATGTTGATGTGCATTTGATAGATATTAATATCTATTCTATATTAACCAGGGTTTCTTTTGCCTTTCTCATTTAATTAAAAATTTAACTAATTTTATCATGATGCTTGTCTCCCATTCATTCATGTAGCGTAACAATTCACCAACGACAGATTTCAATCGTTCCTCTCAAAAAAAGAAAAAAAAAATGAGTTGGCTTTTTTGTCGTAATGCACGATAATTAAAACATTATTTAAAAAGGGATGACAATGGAATATGAACAATGGAAAGAAATATTAACTGCAATCGATAAGGAAACAATTAAGTAAAGATAACGCAATTGCAAAAATAAAAGAGAATTTAAAAAAAATGGATTTAAGTACATATGGAAGGAAACTAATTTTGATGTAAATCACTTATTTGCAGTGAAAAATGGACTATTGCATTTGCTGTTCACAATAATCTAAAAAGTGTGGTGAAAGCTTTATTTGGGTAGAAGGAATTGATATTAATTAATGCAGTGGACAAAGATACATTTGGCTGTTAAGAAGTCATATTGCTATAGTGAAAAATCCGTTAGAAGGAAATGTCAATGTAGATGATGATGAAGATAAATGCACTCCTTCGCATTGTATCAAGGGTGCACAGGCAACGGAGACTCTAATAGAAGCAGGCGCAAATGTTAATGCAGACGATAAAGATAAATGCACTCCCTCACATATAGCTACTCAGTTCTGTCGTAAAGAGATTAGAAAAAGTCCTAATAGAAGCAGGAGAAGCAGATGTTCCTGCAGCAGATAAATATGGAATAACCCCCTTTACACTTTGCTGACGATACAGACACAGTAAAAACTTTAATAGCAGCGGGAGCAAATGCTAATGCAATAGGTAAAGACAAACGCACTCCTTGTTTACATTGTATCAAGCAAGCAAGGGTGCACAGATACTCGATATAGCTGCAAAGGAGTAATTAAGACTTTGATAGGTAAAAGAGTAAATGTTTTGTTAGAGAATAATGATGGTAAAATCCCGAGCGATTTTAACAAAGGTCACTACATAATTAAGAGGTGAAATCTTTGGTCTGAAGAGAGAATGAAGCGATTTGACCAACAGAGTAAAATGTCTTTTGATTTAACAAGAGTACTGCACAGCAACAGTACTTTTTGTAACTGAAACAGTGCAAGTCGCATTCGGGCTATCCTATAATAGCAACAGTAGTTGTAGTTGCAGCAATAGCATAGGCGGTGTCTTGTGTTGCGACTAAAATATTAGAACTTAGTACTAAAATAGATGAAATGAAAGCAGTACAATAGAAAAAAATATGTAGAAAGCACCTTCTTAACTTAAGCATACAGTTATAAAGCTTCACTACTACTAAAATCTTTTAGAGTTATATATACTTTATCTTCGCTGTGTGTCACTGTATTGCTCTATGGAATTTAGAATTTTGCTTACTAATCTACAAAATAAATTCTAGCAATATCAAAAACTAATCATAATTAAATGTTAAAATATTGAAAATTATCAATTCATTAAAAAAATAGATATTTTGTACTTAATTGATTGAATTTTATGCGTTGCAAGGTACTGGTCACACACACCGTCGTCATTTGACCAGCAAAAATAATAAAATGAACTTTAGAAATTAATTAAATTTTTAATTTTTCACGATTTTAATTCATTCTTACAATTAAAATTAATTTATATTTCGAATTTAAATAATACATTTATAAAAATCCCATAATTTGTACGGGTATTTGCATACTAAATTAGGTAAGAAGTCCTACTATTATCAAAATTTAATTTCAAATGATGTTAAAAGTATTAAAAAAAAATCATTTAATAAAAAAAAATTGATTATTGTATACGCATAGTGCGGGAACTGTCACATACATTGTGGTCATTTGACACCTTAAATAATAAAATAATGCTTAGGCTTAGGCTTAGGGTGTACTTAGGCTTAGGCTTAAGCATTTTTTCAAATCTAAAAATTGATTGTGCTGAAAATTTTATAATTTCCAAGAGTTTTTGTATATTAAACGAAGAAATAATTTCTAGTCTTATCAATTTTGATTTTAATTAAATGTTAAAATATTGAAAAATATCAATTCATTAAAAAAAGTTAGATGTTTTGAGCTTAACTGATTAATTTATATGCATTGCATGGGTACTGGTCATTTACAGTTGGTGAATTGATCAGCGTGAATAATAAAATAAACTTTAAAAATTAAGTTTTAATCAATATTTGATTAGCAAAATTAATTAAATTTTTATTTTATCACGGTTTTAATTCATTCTTACAATTGAAATTAATTTTTATTTCAAATCTAAATATCAAATTTTATGAAAATTCAATAATTTATCAGGGTTTTGTATATTAAACTATAAAATTAATGCCGGAATTGTCAAAATTTAATTTAATTAAATGTTAGAATATTGAAAAATATCAATTCATAAAAAAAAAAATTAGATAAATGGAACTTAATTGATTATTTTTTATTCATTTCATGGATACTGGTCATTTACGGTTGGTCATTTGATAAAAATTGGATAATTTGAACTTAATTGACCAATTTATAAGCGTTGCATAGATACTGGTCACAACATCGTGGTCATTTGACCAGCAAAAATAATAAAATAAACTTCAGAAATTAAGTTTTCATCAATATTTTATTAGCAAAATTAATTAAATTTTTAATTTTTCACGATTTTAATTCATTCTTACAATCAAAATTAATTTTTATTTCAAATATAAATATCAAATTTTATGAAAAAACAATAATTTATTAGAATTTTGCATGTTAAACTATAAAATAAATTCTGGCAATATCAAAAACTCATTTTAATTATATGTTAAAATATTAAAAAAAATCAAATCATTAAAAAAATTTGATAATTTGAACTTAATTGATTGATTTTTATGCATTGCATAGGAACTGGTCACTTACGGTTGCTCATTTGATCAGTACAAATAATTAAACAAACTTTAATAATTAAATTCTGAACGACATTTCAGTAGCAAAAATAATTAAATTCTTTATTTTTCACTGTTCTAGTTCATTCTAACAATTAAAATTGATTTTGATTTCAAATTTAGATATCGATTTTTGTGAAAATCCTGCAATTATTAGGAATATGAAATAAATCACGGATTTGTCAAAATTTAATTTAATTAAATGTTAAAAAATTTAAAAATATCGATTCATAAAGAAAATTAGTTATTTTGAACTCAATTGATTAAATTTATACATTGCATGGGTAACGGTCAGTTACGGTGTGGTCAATTGGCAACATAAATAATAAAATAAGCTTTAATAATTAAGTTTTAATCAATATTTTATTAGCAAAATTAATTATATTTTTAATTTGTAACGGTTTTAATTCATTCTTACAAATCAAATTAATTTTTATTTCAAATTTAAATTTTATGAAAGAACAATAATTTATTAGAATTTTGCATGTTAAACTATAAAATAAATTCTGGCAATATCAAAAACTCATTTTAATTAAATGTTAAAATATTAAAAAAATCAAATCATCAAAAAAATTAGATAATTTGAACTTGATTGATTAATTTATAAGCGTTGCATAGGTACTGGTCAATCGCGGTGTAGTCAATTGGTCAGCATAAAATATTAAAAAAAAAACTTTAAAAATAACTTTTAATCAATATTTTATTAGCAAAATTAATTAAATTCTTTGTTTGTCACGGTTTTATTTCATTCTTACAATTGTAATTAATTTATTTTCCAAATTTAAATACCATAATTTAAGAAAATTGTGCAATTTGTAAAAGTTTTTGCATATTAAACTATGAAATAAATGCCGGTGTTGTCAAATTTCAATTTAATTAAAGTGTTAAAACTATTAAAAAATATCAATTCGTAAAGAAAATTAGATATTTTGAGCTTAATTGATTAATTTATAAGCGTTGCATGGGTACTGGTCATTTATGGTGTGGTCAATTGGCAACATAAATAATAAAATAAACTTTAATAATTAAGCTTAAATTAATATTTGATAGGCAAAATTAATTATATTTTTAATTTGTAACGGTTTTAATTCATTCTTGCAATTGGAATTAATTTTTATTTGAAATTAAAATTTTATGAAAAAACAATAATTTATTAGAATTTTGCATGTTAAACTATAAAATAAATTCTAATAATACCAAAAATTTATTTTAGTTAAATGACAAAATATTGAAAAATTTCAATTCCTTAAAACAAAGAGATATTTTGAGCTTAATTGATTAATTTATATGCATTGCATGGATACTGGTCACACACACCATGGTTAATTGACCAGCAAAAATAATAAAATAAACTTTAGGAATTAAGTTTCAATCAATATTTTATTAGCGGAATTAATTAAATTTTTAATTTTTCACGATTTTAATTCATTCTTACAATTAAAATTAATTTATATTTCAAATTTAATTAATACATTTACAAAAATCTCATAATTTGTACGGGTGTTTTGCATACTAAACTGGGTAAGAAGTCCTACAATTCTCAAAATTTAATTTCAAATATATTAAAAGTATTAAAAAAAATCATTTAATAAAAAAAAATTGATTATTGTATACGCATAGTGCGGGAACTGGTCACATACATTGTTGTCATTTGACATCTTAAATAATAAAATAATGCTTAGGCTTAGGCTTAGGGTATATTTAGGCTTAGGCTTAAGCATTATTTCAAATCTAAAAATTGATTTTGGTGAAAATTTTATAATTTGCAAGAGCTTTTGTATATTAAAGGGAGAAAAATCTCCAGTTTTATCAATTTTGATTTTAATTAAATGTTAAAACTATTAAAAAATATCAATTGCTTAAAAAAAATTAGTTATTTTGAACTCAGTTGATTAATTTTATGCGTTGCATACGTACCTATGTCACTTACGGTGTGGTCAATTGACAACATAAATAAGAAAATAAACTTTAATAACTAAGTTTTTTTTTAATATTAGAGAAGGGAAATTGATTAAATTCAGATTAAAAATCGTCACTGAGAGAAAGATGAATCATGTGGTCTTTGAAGATGAAATTCTTGCTAACAGTAAGATGCGGCTTTCCTCTTACGTCATTGTATATTTCTATATCTTTCATTATAATGCCATGGCTGAATCCACCTAGCGCCTTAACAAAGGCTTCCTTTGCTGCAAAGCGTTTAGCAAGATACTTTGCTTGCATTTCTTGGCTGTTGTATTTTCTGCTTATCTCTATTTCTGCTCGGTATAGATTTTATTGAGGAATTTTTTCCCATATTTTTGTAATATTCTTAGCATTCTTGGTATAAATACTATGTCAGTACCGATACCACGTATCATTTTACGTTAAAGTAGTTTATTGCTTCTTCAATCTGCACTTCCTCTACCTTTCCAGTTGCTCTAATTTTTATTTCAATTATATTTTCACTTACTGCTTTCTTCCCAACAATTATTTACCATGGCAAGCCTATGAGGTCCATCTTAGCAAATTTTACTCCTATACTTCCTTCTGTATCATTATGAAACACTTCGTCACTTTTTAAAGTACTGTATATTTTATTTTCAATCTCTACATATTCAGCCGTTTTTGTCTGTAAGTTGATTAACCCAACCCTGAAAGGAGCCACTGCTTCTGGCCAGGTAATTCCTTTATCATCATGGAAAGCTTCTATTATTGCACCAACGAGCCTTGAAACCCCAATACCATACGAACCCTGGAGTAAGAATAGGACCTGGTGCTAAAATCGGTCCGTTTACCAAATGCGAGGACACAACAATTGGCGATGGCACTTGCTTTTGAGATTGAACCAGGAAATTTCAATACTGAACTCGGTAAATTTAAAACATGTAAACTTAAGCAAAATGGCAATAAATATATATTTAATCCAGAATATAAGTAAAAAAATCGTATAGAACTACATTCTGAGTATCTTAATATGTATCTCCCTAAATACTTTGAAAAACACAGTAAAAAAAGGACATACATTGAACTTTTTTCTCTAAAAGAAAACAGAATTAATGACGATATCATAATTCCATCAAGTGTACCTAAAGAAATAGACATATTTTTTTTTGAGAATTCTGTCGAATAAATCCTAAAAGGGCTATACAGAGTAAAATACCAGATTTTCGGAGGGATATATATCTGAAAGATTGCAAAAATGATGTAAAATTCCACCTTAATTCAAATAATACTATATTTCTTTCTGTGACATCAGGGAGGATGTCCTAATTAGAGGCAGGTTTGCTAATAATGTAAATAAGCATATTCACAAGCAACTTGAAGTAAAAGTGGACTCTGATTTTGAATGTGTTGAAATAGTTAAATTGAGGAGGTAAGCTCGGCTTTAAAATAAGTTAGAGTCACACCAGGTAAGCAAACGCTTCAGAGCAAAGCATAACGTAGAGTACAAGAAGCCATGTCTGCAAATGTACTACCACAATTCTTATACTGTAATAGGTAAACTCACGTAGATTATTACAACTAGTCAAGTGTGATATGATAAAGTTTTTTATATATTTATGGTATTATTGATATTTTCATGATTATTCCTTATACTACTTAATTAGCTACCAAATCATACAATAGAATGTTAGTTGCAAAAACAAATTCCATTTTTTAGGTGAGGAAAATTATGAATGTCTCTATCCCGGATGCACTATGGTCACGAAAAATTACAACGAATATGTAACACATAGGAAAACGCATCAACCCTTCACCTATGAATGTAGAGTGCCCGGTTGTGGGCGGACATTTGACCACAAAGCATCATTTTGCAATCACAAGCAAACGCATGAACCTCATCCTCAGTGCGAGTACTGTAACAAATTCTTCACCTGCAAGAGTGGACTACAAAATCACAAAAGGCGTTGCCAAACAAAGTCTTGTTAGTTTGCAAATTTAGCAGAATTTTAAACAGATAAACAGATATGTCAGACTGAAAAAAGAATGCATGTGAAATGTGTTATTTGTTACCACTCAGTGACAATACAAGGAGAAATTCTCAATTACACTTTTTGTTGTAACTAAGCAACTTCTTGTGATCTAAATAATTTGAAATGGAATGTGCTAGGATTATTTTATGGAAGTAATTTTTTAGTAGTTCACTTAATTAGTTGTATCAGATTACTTAATTAGTTGCCAAACACTATAATAAAATATAAATTGCAAAAACAAATAACACAGTAATTTTTTAGGCGAACGAAGCTACTATCCCGGATGTGCTGTGATCGCAAAAAGTTACAACGAATATGTAACACATAGGAAAACACACGGTCAGCCCTTCATCTATAAATGCAAAGTGCCCGGTTGTGGACGAACATTCGACTATAAATCATCACTTTACAGTCACAAGAAAACGCATGAGCCTCGTCCTCGGTGTGAATGCTTGGCGTGAATGTATGAATGCATTAAAATCTCACGGTGTGTGAATGTATGAATGCATTGAAATCTCACAAGAAATTGTATTCCGAAACTCCTCCAAGTTAACAAAACTTATGTCAGCCTGAAATAGAATGTACGTGAAGTGTATTGTGAAGCATTTGTGACCGTTTGAGTCAGACACAAAATTCATTGGACACACTCATTAGATGCTGTATATTTTTTTCACATTTTTTTCGCACTCAATACGTAGTAGTTGCCCATAACCTGAGAAGCATCTGCTTAAAAAGATGTTGTTAGTTTCAACAAATATTGAAAATATCAGCAGGGAAACGAATACCTCTTCACTCTTTGGCGAACTGCTTTGTTTTCTAATTCGTGGAAGATATGCAGAAAAGCATATCATTTTATCCGGAAAACCAAACTGATGCTAATCATTTCTTTTGGCACTATATAACAACAAAAAATTTTTATTCTAGAAAGCGAAACACAATTTGGGCATTCTTCACAGACATAAGAAAAGGCGTGTAGCAATCGGGCGATTAATAATTTCATTTTATCATTGAATTTTTACTGTCTTATCTTTTTTATCCCATAATTTCATATAAATGGCGTAAACGTACCAATTGATTACAAAACGCAAAATTCGAAAACAAGCATTAAAATTTAGTAAAACACGCTCAAAACTGAAATAAACGATATGTCATGCAAAAAGCTAATATGGCAAAAGCATCATAAATGACAGGAAAGTATTCACCTAATAATTTATAATAAAAATTGGCATTACGAAGTGATTTTAAATAAAGAAGTCATATTATAAAAAAAAAAAGTCAAGATAAATTTTTAGCCTACTTTTTGTAATTGTTGATCATTAATTTACTGACTTAAGTTCAGTATGCAAAAAACTGTTGTCCATTCATAACAAGTAAGGATGCCAATATCAGTAATTTAGTCTAAGCCTTAACATGCAAAATAAATATCAGATATCCATTTAATGAAATGAAACTCAATAGAAAATGATTAGAACAATACACTTAAACTTAGGGTTAGGCTTAGGGTGACACTTATATATATTAGATGTTACAACATTTCCCTCATCACTATCACTCAGATGTAGTAGCAGCTATCGATGACCAATGAATCACAGTGGCAATAGAGAAAGGAATATTCATTCAATTGCACTCTTGGCCAAATTTTATGAAAGATATGAAGGAAACCATATCATTCTGTGCACAAAACCAAACTGCGACGAATTCGTAATCATTTTTTTGGCGTAAAACATTTAAAAAAATTTCCAGAAAGCGATATACAATTTCGACATTCTTCGCAAACGGCAAGAGTTTTCGCTACATCAAAAATGCAACGGCCGATTAATAATTTGAAGAAAAACTCACTCAAAAAACAATATTTCTCCTCTTTTAATATCCTATCATTGGACAGCAGAATAAAATTCAAATCTAGTTTCATCCACGTAACTAATTTCTAATAAAAAAAAAAACACGTATAGTGGTCGAGATATTGTCCATTGCAATCAAAGAAGTCCTAGACACTAAACAGCAAAAGTATTGGAAAAGCACTAGGAATAATAGTATGAAGTGGGACCGACAAAAATAATCACAAAGAGAGTCATACTGAAGAGATTACTTTGGTTTCCAGGAATTTATATGCAAAAAATCCTTCTATGGTTTTTGCACTGCAATAAAACCTGAAAATGATTAGGAAGCTAAAGTAAGTAACATTTGGTGGAAATGTAAAACAAATGATAAATATCCTTTCTGCAACCAATGCCTCATTTATAAAATTTATGACAATCTTACTAACTAGTCGAAGTGATTTTATCACATTCGAAACAATTTGTATTAAATCTATAAGATGGAAATTTGTCGAATAAAGATTTTATTCCTAAGAGCAATGATTATTCCATTTAACATTGTGTCTTAAATAATTGTATAACTTAATCTTCCAAAGCGCAACTAGCATTGCTGGAATGCTCTAAAAAAGTCACTCTGCTTGTTCATCACTCATTTGTAAAGTGCTCTGCTGTAAGCCAACGCCACCATATAACCTGCTGTCTCGGCTCAATACTCCTCTACAACAGACCGTTCTCTATCGAATGACAACCTGTAAAAGTCCCAGCCAACTTTCTCATACGATCAACTACCCATGACTCTAGTTTACGTCTATCAACTGGCTACAGTTACTTCATCGTTGATAAAAATAAAATTTCCCAACATGTCTCATGCAAGTACTTTTTTCAAATGCTCACACCCTAAAGAATTTTGATTTCAAGGTTTTATATTTAAATGATTCTCTAACATTCCAAGTTGATTCAGAACATGATTATCACTCCTTGGTGAAGAACATTAATTCTGGGGATGTTTTTGATTTGCAGATTTTTTCTTCTACGGAAAAAAAGAGCTGTTATTACGATCTAACTAATCCAGGCCTATACCATAGCCCCACCACTGCTTCCATCGAGTCATTGCAATGTCAACATTTGACTTTTATTCCCTTACCCATCATATCTTGAGGACATAATGACGCTGCAATTTTATTCCATCTGGCCAAGCACCTCTACCTGCATTGGCCAGAATTTAACTCACCTGCATGAAAATACCTCAGTGATTAATTAAACAGTGCTTGCAATTTGTTTCATAAAATAATTTGAATTCTCGCCCAACAGAATGTTAGAGAATAACCCTTTGTGTTGCAATGATGAAAGTAAGGAAGACAAGACGAGAATGTAGACGGAACAGGACGGGAATATTCTCATTCCATGTACGTTAGCCATCAATAAGTAAGACAAACGGTACCGAAGGAATGTACAAATAACTGAGAGACAAAGAAAAGCACAGAGAGAACGATAACGAAGAGAGAGAGAGAGGGAAAGGAGGGGTGAAAGTTTGCCTGACACATCAATAATATATGACTAATAGTGAGTGAATGAGTGGGCGTAAAATGTTTGAACTGAAAGGGAAACCAAAGCAATGAATTACAAAATGGAAAGGACAAGCATATCTATGACGGAACAGCCCTTGCACAGTTGAACTATTGGTAGGCACTTGGTCTTCTAGTCCTCTTCTCTCTCTCTCCTGCACATTTAGTCATGTATGACGTCAAGGAGACCGTCTGTTATATGTCAATGAGATGTATAATATTGGAAGACAAAGACCACCCATCTTTGTAGAGAAAAATGCGGGTAATGGCAGGTAGAGATGTGCCGCCGCATCATTATCTCACATTACCGTTTCCTGCTTTATACTTAGATTAATTTTAAATCTTTTACGAGAAGTTATTTTCGGGACTTCACAAATGATAAACAAACAGACAGATGCATAAATGAATGCGGCTCTAGATAGATAAATGCCGCATAATATAGCATATAAGCAACTGACATTGATGTATTAATTAAATTTTGTATTAATTTTTTTTTTTTTTTTTTGTATTAATTTCAACTGTTAATCAACTGACGTCACAAGAATTTTACAAAATTTTAACAATATGCAAATAATTCAGTGTCAGTACGTTATGAAACAAAGCAGAAAGCATTATTGAACATTGTACAGATTAAAGATTTCATCATTCAGAGATATTCAAACTATTCACCAGTTTCCATTTATGTGAATATTAATTAACTCCATTGTGTCAACCCAATTTTTAAAATTTGTCCCAACCTTTCAAACAACAAACGTCGTTTCATCTTATGTTGAAATCCCTACCTACAATAACAAGAATACTATGAATGTATGTCAAAAAGCAACAAATATCAAATTTCAGATGATGCGTCCATCCGATAAAGTCTCATTAGTGATACTATCTATCAGTTAGGCGAGAGGAAATCGAGAATGTAAAAGGAAAAATATGACTAACAGCGGACAGAGCTCAGGTAATAGCAGAAACTAGGGAAATAAAAGGGGGAAATAAAAGAATTAAATTTATCGCTAATCAATTCATTGTAGTATTCCAGAATCAATCATGAACATCCTCGATTATATTCAAAGAACTACGAATGGTTCTAAAGGAAAGAAGAAATTTATATAGAAATGGTTCACTGAGAACAAGGTATTTTAAGATAATTAAGTCAGTGAAACTCTCCAAAACTCATTTTGCAAACAAGAACAATACTCACTTTCTTTTTGATAATTCATATTAGCACAATCCGCATATCCTACATCTAAGAGTGCAAAGTCCTTATATCCCTATCCCTCCCCATCCATGATGATTGAGCGCAACTGGATGTCTAACAAAACTATGCTCACAACAAGTCCTCCTCCCAATAGTTGCAACGATAACAAGAGCAGTAAGTAAGTCAGAGGAAAAGAATGTCAGTCCATTTTTTTTTTTCATCGACGGTAATTGCTATTCCATCGTCACTGAGAGAAAGATGAATCATGTGGTCTTTGAAAGTTAAAGTAGTTTATTGCTTCTTCAATCTGCACTTCCTCTACCTTTCCAGTTGCTCTAATTTTTATTTCAATTATATTTTCACTTACTGCTTTCTTCCCAACAATTATTTACCATGGCAAGCCTATGAGGTCCAGAAATTTCATCTTGTTAGCAAGAATTTCATCTTCAAAGACCACATGATTCATCTTTCTCTCAGTGACGATGGAGATTGCGCTACTGCGTTTGTTATAATTTGCAGCTCACTTCCGTAACTGCGCAAATATTTGCTTTTCCCTATGCGACAGATTTAGTATTAAATTTCGAATTTAATGCACTCAAATATACGATTATTCCTAGCAGAATCATAAATATTGAAAGCAACTGTCCCATGGTTAAATCAAGCCACAAATAATCAACTTGATAATCTGGTTCACGAAAAAACTCAACCACAAAACGCACTGTTCCGTACCATAACTGCAATGCCAGTTAATGTGCCGTGATATAGTCTTATTCTAGTCAAAAAAAAACAGTGAATTTGCAAGTGCGAAAAATAACAATCTTTCAAAAAACGCCTCGTAAAGCTGACTTGGATGGCGCATTAAATTATCACCACTCTCTGGAAATACCATGCCCCATGGCATAGTTGTAACCCTGCCAAACAACTCTCCGTTTACAAAATTGCCTATGTGGCCTAAAAACAAACCTATGGGAACTCCACAAGAAATTAGATCCAGTGTGTAAAATATAGGAATATTATATCTTCTACACGAAATTATCACCGCACACAAAACTCCTATAGCGCCACCGTGAAATGACATTCCTCCTTTCCAAGTCTTCAATATCTCAATAGGGTTGTTTATGTAGGAGATTGGATCGTATATTAATACAAAGCCAAGTCTGCCTCCAAGAATAATACCTATAATAGTGGCTGTTAACAGTGAATCATAAAAATTCTTAGTATGCAAAGACTATACCTAAAACATATGCTAAAGAATACCAGTGTATAGAAACAGGACCGATGCTAAAAATTGCTGGACTTAAAGACATATTTTACTATAGGTTATTTTTAGACAATCTACTTTTTTCACGATTCCACTCTCTCTGCTTTATGGTTGCTCTTTTGTCATAAAGTTTTTTTCCTTTCACAATAGCAATTCTAATTTTTACTAATCCTTTGTCATTAAAATAAATTGAAAGTGGCACAATAGTAACTCCAGCAGTCTTGATCTGACTGATTAATTTATTTATCTCTTTTTTATGCAGAAGCAATTTACGTTCCCTTTTCGGCTTATGTTTTTTTTTGTTTGCAGCTTTATATTCTGCAATGTGCATATTGTGCAGCCATATTTCACCATTTTTTTCAGTGACATAAGCATCAGAAATATTTACTTTTCTTTCTCTAAGAGATTTAACTTCACTACTTAAAAGGACCATACCTGCTTCAAACTCTTCTAGGATAAAGTATTCAAACCTTGCTTTTCTATTTTCTGCAATAACTTCCATATTTAAAAACATTCCTCAGACTTTAATATATACAGGATTTTTAGTTCTTGCAGCAATGTTAAAAAAATAATATTCTAAAATTCAAAACTCGTACGTTCAAGGCCTATCGGATAGGCTAGTGTAATCCGATATTTTTTGAGGTGCAAGACATAGTTGATCTTTAGTATAACTTTTAGCTGCAAATATTTAAGGAACTTACCAAGCAGAAAAAAAGTCAAAAAAAATCCAGAGTAGCTAGTTATCAACTCTTTACTTTAAAAATTTTGATGTTGGGTAATGCCTTAAGTGCTTTATAAGCGAGTTTCAGCTTATTAATCTGCTAAGATTAGAAAATTATATAAAATAACTCCATTTTCATGATAAGAGAACTAGCAAAATGTGTCAAGTAATTTTTGCATTTCTATGAGCTACTTGGATTCCTGAAATTACAATATTCATATAGTTGTGGGATCAGTGCTCTAATCGACATCCATAGGTTATTAACATAATCAATTTATAGAAGCAGATGTTATAGAAAAGGAAATATGTTATAGAAAAAATAGAAAATCCTAGAGAGAATATAGCTTATGAGTTAGTAAATAATGAGAGTAAATTAACAAATGAAAATAAACAAAAAATTCTTGAGCTAGCAAAAAAAATAAAAAAAGAAGAAAATATTGCTAGTTTATTAAAGAAATCTGGTAACAACGCAAAGAAAATTTTAATAATTACGGTATCTTTCAATGATCAAGAAGAAAAGTAGGGGTTTTCTCTGCTGTACCCTGTCATATGCCATAAAAATATCAGGCTGTTAAAGATCTTTTAGAAGGAGCTAAAAAACAAGAGCTTTTAAAGGAAGTGCTGAGCGAGAAAATGACCGTAAAATTTTCAGGTAGTACCAATAGGAACATATACTCCGCTTAATTGTACCAGGAGAGAATGGTTATGCTCGAGATAAAATTTTTGATAGCAGCTAAAGATGAAAATATTTTGTTAATATTTTTAGTATAAAAATAACTATAGAGCAGCAAACCGTTTCCACTATTACCAAAAAAACTGCTACCAATACTGTAACTATTCCAGCTAATAACCCAGCTTCACACGAAAACGATAAAGATAGTCTTGATACAGCAACTGTAAAACATGACAGCAAAGTATTCTGCAATGAGAGAGCGTAGTATTAAAAATATCAATTATTATTTTGAACTCAATTGTTAAAATATCAATTAAAAATATCAATTAAAACTATTAAAAAATATCAATTGCTTAAAAAAAATTAGTTATTTTGAACTCAATTGATTAATTTGTGTGCATTGCATAGGTACTGGTCGCATACATTGTGGTCATTTGACCAGAAAAAATAATAAAATCAAGTTTAGAAATTGAGTTCTGAATGATATTTTAGAAGCAAAATTAATTAAATTTTTAATTTTTCACGATTTTAATTCATTCTCACAATTATAATTGATTTTTATTTCAAATTTAAAATTTAAATTTTATGAAAATTCGTTAATTTACTAGAATTTGGATGTTAAACTATGAAATAAATTCTAGCAATATCAAAGAATCATTTTAATTAAATGTTGAAATATTAAAAAAAAATCAATTCTTTAAAAAAAAATAGATATTTTGAACTTAATTGATTAATTTATAAACGTTGCATAGATACTGGTCACATACATTGTGGTCATTTGACCAGCAAAAACAATTAAATAAATTTTAATTTTTAAATTTTGATTAAAATTTCAGTTGTGAAAATATAATAAAATTTTTAATTAGTCATACACCTAACTCATTTTTACAATTAATGCTAATTTTTAATTCAAATTTAAAATTGATTTTTGTGAAAATCCTATTATTTGTAAGAATTTTTGCATAATAAATTGGGAAAAAAACCCTGCTATTATCAAATTTAATCTTAATTAAATATTAAAATATCAAAAAATATCAAAACATTAAAAAAAAGATAGATATTTTGTACTTAATTGATTGAATTTTATGCGTTGCGTAGGTACTGGTCACATACATCGTGGTCATTTCACCAGCAAAAATAATAAAATAAACTTTAGGAATTAAGTTTCAATCAATATTTTATTAGCGGAATTAATTAAATTTTTAATTTTTCACGATTTTAATTCATTCTTACAATTAAACTTAATTTATATTTCAAACTTAAAATTTAAATTTTTTGAAAAAACAATAATTTATTAGAATTTTACATGTTAAACTATAAAATAATTTCTAATAATACCAAAAATTTATTTTAAATAAATGTTAAAATATTGTAAAATATCAATTCATTAAAAAAAAATGGTTGTTTTGAACTTTATTGATTAATTTGTTGTGGTCATACATTGTGGTCATTTGTCCAGCATAAATTTTAAAATGAACTTTAATAATTAAGTTTTAATCAATATTTAATTAGCAAAACAATTTAAATTTTTAATTTTTTACGGTTTCAATTCATTCTCACAGTTATAAATAATTTTTATTTCAAATTTAAAATTTAATTTATATGAAAATTCGTTAATTTTCTAGAATTTTCATATTAATCTACAAAATAAATTCCAGCAATATCAAAAACTAATTTTAAATAATTGTTAAAATATTAAAAAATATCAAATCATTAAAAAAATAGATATTTTGTACTTAATTGATTGAATTTTATTGCGTTGCAAGGTACTGGTCACACACACCGTGGTCATTTGACCAGCAAAAATAATAAAATCAACTTTAGAAATTAATTAAATTTTTAATTTTTCACGATTTTAATTCATTCTTACAATTAAAATTAATTTATATTTCAAATTTAAATAATACATTTATAAAAATCTCATAATTTGTACGGGTGTTTTGCATACTAAACTGGGTAAGAAGTCCTACAATTCTCAAAATTTAATTTCAAATATATTAAAAGTACTAAAAAAAATCATTTAATAAAAAAAATTGATTATTGTATACGCATAGTGCGGGAACTGGTCACATACATTGTTGTCATTTGACATCTTAAATAATGAAATAATGCTTAGGCTTAGGCTTAGGGTATATTTAGGCTTAGGCTTAAGCATTATTTCAAATCTAAAAATTGATTTTGGTGAAAATTTTATAATTTGCAAGAGCTTTTGTATATTAAAGGGAGAAGAAATCTCTAGTTTTTTTCAATTTTGATTTTAATTAAATGCTAAAACTATTAAAAAATATCAATACCTTAAAAAAAATTAGTTATTTTGAATTCAGTTATTTAATTTTATGCGTTGCATACGTAATAAGAAAATAAACTTTAATAACTAAGTTTTTTTTTTAATATTCGAGAGGTGAAATTAATAAGATTTTTAATTTGTCGTAGATTTAATTCATTTCTGCAGCTAAAATTAGTTTTTGTTTGAAATTTTAAGATCGAATTTTATGAAAATTTTATGATTTGCAATGAATCAAAGCCTTTTTTGTATATTAGACTACGAAATAATTTCTAGTAATATCAAATTTTACTTTAATTAAATGTTAAAACTGTTGAAAAATATATATTTATTAAAAAAAGTTAGATATTTCGAGCTTAATTGATCAATTTATATGCATTGCATAAGTACTGGTCATTTACGGTTGCTCATTTGATCAGCATAAATAACTAAATAAACTTTAAAAATTAAGTTTCAATCAATATTTGACTAGCGGAATTGATTAAATTTTTAATTTATCACGGTTTTAATTCATTCTTACAATTCAAATTAATTTTTATTTCAAATTTAAATATCAAATTCTGTGAAAATTTAATGATTTATTAGAGTTTTGTATATTAAACAGTAAGATGAATCCCTGTATTGTCAAAATTTCTTTTAATTAAATGTTAAAATAATATAAATATCAATTGTTTAGAAAAAAAAAAATAGATAATTTGAGCTTAACTGATTAATTTATAAGCGTTCCATAGTACTAGTTATTCACGGTGTGGTCATTTGACCAACATTAATAATAAAATAAACCTTAATAATTAAGTTTTAATTAATATTTGATAGGCAAAATTAATTACATTTTTAATTAATCACGGTTTTGATTCATTCTTACAATTCAAATCAATTCTTATTTCAAATTTAAATTTCAAATTTTATGAAAATTCAATAATTTGTTAGGATTTTGTATATTAAACTATAAAATAAATTCCAGCAATATCAAAGAATCATTTTAATTAAATGTTGGAATATTTAAAAAAATCGAATCATTTAAAAAATTAGATAATTTGAACTTAATTGATTAATTTGTGTGCATTGCATAGGTACTGGTCACATACATTGTGGTCATTTGACATTTTAAATAATAAAATAATGCTTAGGCTTAGGCTTAGGCTTAAGCATTATTTCAAATCTAAAAATTAATTTTGGTGAAAATTTTATAATTTCCAAAAGTTTTTGTATATTAAACGGGAAAATAATTTCTAGTTTTATCAATTTTGATTTTAATTAAATGTTAAAACTATTAAAAAATATCAATTGCTTAAAAAAAATTAGTTATTTTGAACTCAATTGATTAATTTGTGTGCATTGCATAGGTACTGGTCGCATACATTGTGGTCATTTGACCAGAAAAAATAATAAAATCAAGTTTAGAAATTGAGTTCTGAATGATATTTTAGAAGCAAAATTAATTAAATTTTTAATTTTTCACGATTTTAATTCATTCTCACAATTATAATTGATTTTTATTTCAAATTTAAAATTTAAATTTTATGAAAATTCGTTAATTTACTAGAATTTGGATGTTAAACTATGAAATAAATTCTAGCAATATCAAAGAATCATTTTAATTAAATGTTGAAATATTAAAAAAAAATCAATTCTTTAAAAAAAAATAGATATTTTGAACTTAATTGATTAATTTATAAACGTTGCATAGATACTGGTCACATACATTGTGGTCATTTGACCAGCAAAAACAATTAAATAAATTTTAATTTTTAAATTTTGATTAAAATTTCAGTTGTGAAAATATAATAAAATTTTTAATTAGTCATACACCTAACTCATTTAATTTTTATTTCAAATTTAAATATCAAATTCTGTGAAAATTTAATGATTTATTAGAGTTTTGTATATTAAACAGTAAGATGAATCCCTGTATTGTCAAAATTTCTTTTAATTAAATGTTAAAATAATATAAATATCAATTGTTTAGAAAAAAAAAAATAGATAATTTGAACTCAATTGATTAATTTGTGTGCATTGCATAGGTACTGGTCACATACATTGTGGTCATTTGACCAGAAAAAATAATAAAATCAAGTTTAGAAATTGAGTTCTGAATGATATTTTAGAAGCAAAATTAATTAAATTTTTAATTTTTCACGATTTTAATTCATTCTCACAATTATAATTGATTTTTATTTCAAATTTAAAATTTAAATTTTATGAAAATTCGTTAATTTACTAGAATTTGGATGTTAAACTATGAAATAAATTCTAGCAATATCAAAGAATCATTTTAATTAAATGTTGAAATATTAAAAAAAAATCAATTCTTTAAAAAATAGATATTTTGAACTTAATTGATTAATTTATAAACGTTGCATAGATACTGGTCACATACATTGTGGTCATTTGACCAGCAAAAACAATTAAATAGATTTTAATTTTTGAATTTTGATTAAAATTTCGGTTGTGAAAATATAATAAAATTTTTAATTAGTCATACACCTAACTCATTTTTACAATTAATGCTAATTTTTAATTCAAATTTAAAATTGATTTTTGTGAAAATCCTATTATTTGT